TATAAATTTTCCAGTGAAAATCTCACAATAATGTGCCACCAGAACATTTAAAAAAATCCGATTGTTTTGCAAAATTTATTTTGCGGGTTTGTTGATGATGGTCTGCAGGTTCCCATGCTTGACGTTTCATTTACTATGGAGGTAGTATGTGCTGCAAGGAAAACTGGAACATTCCGTTCGTCGCCTTAATGCCTTTGATAATTTCTGCCGCAGCTGTATACGAACCGTCAGGCATTAAAATGTGCAAAGCACTGCCAACAATCCCAATAAATGTCTGAAAGATTACACTCTTTGATCAAATCCGAATGTCAAAAGAATTTTTCAGAAATTACCGTTTTCAACCAATATTTGATTGTGACAAATGAGAGATGAATTCAGTTATCACAATAATCAAATTGGAATAATCATTACATTTATCTGAATTAAGTGTTGAGCCACACCTCTATTGAAACTAATGGGACAAAAATAGATCGCCTCAAAGGAGGTTATCGAAAGTAGATATATTTGTCTATTATGGCTAGCGAACGTTGTTCTCACGGAAATTAAACTGATCATTAATAAAGCTGCATATTTCAAGTCGGAACTTTGTCGGCTGTGTACAGGGTGAGTCAATAAGATTTCCTCGGTCCATTGTTGTCAGAGGAAACAATTTTTTGAACTGCTCAATTTTTTTGCAATAACATCGCTAAAAACTATCTTTCAAAATTGTTTTCTTGCGTATTGGGTGATTCAGCCAAGCGTGGCCAACATATGATATATTTTTTAAACGAAACACCCTAATTCGTCATTCGATTCCATTTTTTTTAGCTCTCTAAGGAATTTTCGTTTTCAAATTTCCATCACATCAGTGCCAAGTTATTCCAGAGAATCCTATTTTTCAGACAATATTTTTTTAATTCACTACCCGCGTATTTACAGCAGTTAAGTGGATTTTTTTGAGAATAGTTAGTCAACATCACTATGATAATTTTGTTCGGTGAAACCGGTCAAGTTTAATTAATTTTCAAACAAACATAATTCAACTCTATTAAATAGAACACCCTGTATTTTTTCATTTGTATGAAATGTTTCAACATTTCACTACATTTTTTATCAGAAATGTACTATACGAAAAACTGATATTTTACAAATTATACAAGTAATTGTTGTAACCACAAAAAAATGTATTTTCTTATGTTCACCTACTCAAATTTGTTTTTCGAATATTCAAACTAATCGCTAGTATATTAGCATTTTTCAAACCATAGTTATCAGAGGTTTTAATGGGGTAAGAAATGCGTTAAAAACCTAAAGAATATTTATACTGTTTTTTTCATTAAAAACCCAGTTAGTTATCCATGACAGACATAAAAAAATAAATCTCGGAATTTGTCAATAACGTCATGTGTAGAAGTTTCTTTCGCGTGTAGATTGAATCATTTTCATTACGAATTATGTATTGGAAGATATGGTGCAACTGGTCTATGCTTTGGGGGAAAGTGACGGAAACTGCCTCCTTGCATCTAGGATTCACAAAGAGAAGTTCTCCGAAAGAAGACAACCAGATGGAATGGCATTTCAGGCTCTAAAAACAAAATTTGATAAAACTGGCAATGTCAATTACGAGAAGTTCGAACCTGTCTGCCCTGTAACAAATGAAGAGAATACATTTAAAATTGATCTTCATTTTGTTGAAAATCCTCATGTGAGTACCCTGAACAGGGAATTAGGATTTTCTCAAACCAGCGTGTCTCGAATGATACGAGCAGGCAAATTTCATCCTTACCGCATGCAATTGATGCAAGAGTTAAGAGGAAGAGATTTTGAAAAACGTGTTCAATTTTGCCGATTGGGCTAAGAAAATATCAACCAGAAAAATGATTTTGCCGATTTCGTGTTATTTTCTGATGTAGCGACTTTTCATAAAAATGGAACTACTGCAATTATGCAGTGGAAAACCCCCATTTAGTTCGTTGCCTGAACCATCAACAGCGTTGGTCACTGAATGTTTGGGATGGAGTTCTCGGAAAAAGAGTTATCGGTCCGTATTTTTTAGATGGGCATCTCACTAGAAGAAAATATGTAAGATTTCTCTGGCATGAGTTTTCGAATTTATTGGACGGGCTACAACAAGACGATGCACCACCACATTTTAGAACTGAGGTGCGGGAATACCTTAACGATCATTTCAATCGAAAATGGATAGGTAGGGGTGGGCCTGTGGCGTTGCCACCCAAATCACCTGACTTGACCAAAACGGATTTTTTGGAGGTATATCAAATGGATTGTCTACCAAACTCCTCCAACAGCTATAGAATACATGAAACGAAGAATCACTAGAGCTTTCAGGGAAATCCCAGAGTATATGCTGGAACGTGTAGACAATTCGTTTAAAAGAAGACTGGCATTATATATTGCATAATGCCAGTCGCCATTTTGAACTTCTTGTGGACTCCTCTATTCAATAAAAAAATTCAGGCGTTATTGTTCTCATTGAAAAAGTAAGTGTACGTAAATAAATGAATTTTTCGTGGTTATAACAATTAATAAAACTGGGTATAATTTGCAAAATATCAGTTTTTTGTATAGTATACCTCTGATAAAAAATGTAGTGAAATGTTGAAACATTTCATACAAATGAAAAAATACTGGGTGTTCCATTTGAAAAAGTTGAATTATGTCTGTTTGAAGATGAATGAAACGTGACCGGTTTTACCGAAAGTAGAGATTCCCAAAATTATCATAGTGATGTTGACTAACTATTCCTAAAAAAAACACTTAATTGCTGTAGACATACGGGTGGTGAATTGAAAAAATATTGTTTGCAAAGTAGGTTTTTCTGGGATAACTTGGCAATGCCGCAATGGAAATTCGAAAAACAATTTTTTTAAAAATTTAAAAAATATGTAATCGAATTACTTTACATACTGGGCGTTCCATGTAAAAAAATATTACTTTGGTTGGCCTCGCTCGGCTGAATCGCCCAGTATGCGGGAACATAATTTTTAAAGATAGTATTTTCTGATATGACAGCGAAAAAAATTGAGCAATTTGAAAAATTGTTTTCCCTGACAACCATAGGCCGAAGGAATCTTATTGACTCATCCTGTATTTCGAGAAGTGATTATGATTAATAAGTTTCAATAAATTAGACGGGCTATAAAATGATACACTGGCGAATAAAACGAACTTTTCTAGTAATACTTTTCAGTTGTATATTTTTAACCTCAACTCTGTCAATTGTACAAAAAAAGTAGTACTAGATATATTTTTTGCGGATAAAGGTAAAATGTGTGGCAAGAGTACCAAGTAGGGTACCATTTTACGGTTGTTTCGAAAGTTTTGACAGTTTCAATGTTATGTTTTTTTGTAGCTCCATATCTCAATAAATATTCATTTTACTCTGTCGTGGTATACACTGGTCCAGATAGAACCCTACCTGTCTTGTTAATCAACTATTTCACTTCCTCTTTCACTAAAAATAATATTTCAAAACTCATTTGACCAGGGGATCTTTCCGAATGTTTGGAAGAATTATTTCCTCTCTCCCATATTCTGACCGATGAAATTTTCAATATTTACAAGCCTGTCATTTCTGAAGAGCAACATGGTTTCTATGAAGGGCGTTTTACTGTTACTAACCTGAATGTTTTCCAAATTTTTTTGCAATAAACTCGAATGAGGCTTCCAGGTAGATGTCACACCGATCTCGTGAAAGCTTTTGACTCTGTTAATCACAGGCTTTTAATTTCTAAATTGGAGGGCCTCGGAGTGGTTGACAGCTAACTGTCATTGATCAGTTCGTATCTAAGTAACCGGTATGTGAAAATAGCTAACAGTTTATCCAATGCAATTAGAGTAATCTTAGGCGTCCCTCAAAGAACGCACATTAGCCCAATATTATTCGTATTATTCGTTAATGATGTAACTGACGTCTTTGAAAATTCCAAAGTCTCCCTCGATGTTGACGATCTCGAATTTTTCAGGGAAGTTTCCTCCATGGAAAATTGTCAAATGATTCAGACTGATATAGATAATTAATTTTTCCAACTACTGTAAAATGAACCTGCTGAACATCAATGTGGAAAAATGCAAGGTACCTACCGCGTTTCTCTAAATCACAATAAACTTTTGAGCTGGACTGTTTCATTGATGACTATATTTTACATCTTGTAAATAATATTTGTGTCCTGGGTATTGTCTTTGACAAGGATCTGAACTTCAACAATCATGTGAACAATATTTGTAACAAAGCCTCAGGAATATTAGGATCCATCGAGAGACAAATACTACACATATTAGATTGGGATGCAATAAAATACATCAAACTTTTCAAACACTTCGATAACTTTCGCACCGGTAGAACCTTCGCCAATTAGGACCAGGCAAAAACGGCCTTCATGGACTTTATCGAATCCCGAGCACAGAATTTTTATGCTGACAGAATTGTTCGACTTGTGTTACGTTGGCAAAAATGTACTGATTCAAATGGCGCCTCCTTTCGATTATAATGAAGAAGTATTCAATAATATCGCAGTTTGAAATAAGCCCATGAAAACGGACAAACATTTTGAAACAACTTAAAGAAGAATGTGAAGAATATGTTCCTTTTAGAATTTGAAGGTCAGGTTAGATGTTGAGGATACATAGGTTAGGTTGAGTAAGGATGTGACAAATTATGGAATTTCAATCTAATTTCGAGATACTTGGCAAAAAGTGAATGAAAGGGAATAGAAAAAAAGTCGATGATCTGGAACAAGATGTTTTGAATTGAAAATATGTGGATTGCAATCGTTTATTGCTTAATAAAAAAAGGTAAAATATGACATCATACAAACTTTGACAGGCTATCGAAAACTAATTGAGTACGAGAAAAATAAAAAGTGTTCTGAATTCCTACCATCACGTAGTATCATCACACAAAAAATCGCGAAAATCCGTAAGTATCCCATAAAGTAAAATTTTTCCGTAATTTGTTCCGAAAAAAAATTGTTATGATTGAATAAAATGAATGCACATACCTCGGACAATCTCACATTCTCTTCTAAAGTCTGGAACTCACTCTGCTTCAAAGAATCTACTTCAGTCTGCAACTCTGCAACTTCACTACTGAGCTGCTTGATGGTCCTATTCAAATTTTCTATATCGGTATCGGAGTTTGATTCTCCGTCTCCGGCGTCAACTCCTTCGTCTACGGCATCTTTGTCCAGTAGCAGCGTTTTCCTCTTCAGCACTTTGTTTTCTTTGTACCACTGCGCCGCATCCTTGAGAGCTCTGAATAATTTGATTTTTGTGGTGAAAATTTTCATTTCAAATTTATCTTCTGTCAAAAGTGAAATTTTTGTGCGAATGTCAAATCAATGTTGTATAATGTCCATCGACATTTTGTTACCTGTTGAAATAATGATCGAAGGATATCTTCATGAGGATGGCGAAAAAAGTTATTGATGATGATATTGAGTCATATCTGTTTGATGTACTTCCGAAATGGCATTTCATTCTGGCAAATGTAATGGAAAAACTAAAAGTGGTTTTCATTTATTTCACTTTTTATTGAGTATTTACATGACAATCTTGTTTACTGAGGAATAGGGAACTCGCATACACGTCCCCGTTTCAGAATATTTTGATTTCTTCGTGGACATCTTCAAAAAAGTTGTGAAAATTACTTGAAATTACTCAACTTTGATTTCTTCATAATAGAAATTATAAGAGACGTACAACGAAAGGACTTTTCTGAATTTCAATTTGTACGTGGCATTTTTTAGAATTGTTGTTGATGGCAAAATGCGTTACCTTTTGTAACCAACAGAAGTCCTTTTATTTCATCATCAATTATATAAGACGAAACCACATATTTTACAACAGAAATAAGTGATGTTTTTCGATAATTTTGTAGCTCAAAAAATTGAGAATGGATATTTTCAGTCAAATCTAAAAAAAATTATTTAAACACGTTAGTTAATTTTCTTTTGTGTAACTTGCCGCTTCGCGGAACCTATATATAAAAAACTACGCTGTTTCAGTCAAATTTAAAAAAAATTATGTAAACACGTTAGTTAATTTCATTTTGTGTAACTTGCCGCTTTGCGGAAACTATATATAAAAAACTACGCTGTTTCAGCAGTACGACTCGAAGATGTATTTGCTTCAAAACACGCTCAACTCATGTAAAGATATGTTAGGAAACTTGAGAAACTTTACATTTGAGATAATACCAGGAAGAAAAACTAATTTTACTTACCAAGTTAACATGTGAATAAGTGTGGTTCCAGAAGTACCCGACCTGACCTAGAGATGGCAGTAGTTGTTTGAAAAATATCACGGTATCAGAAAGTGCACAATCTATAAAGCATATGTTTCAAGTTTGAAGACGCTGCGTTGTTTAGTATTTGTTTGGCAGCCACAAATAGCGAACGTTATCGGTGAATTTGTGAAAATGGAAAAAATTGGTCTTTGGTATGTGGTACAAAACTTTTATTTGAAAGGTCTCAGCCCATTTCTTCAATGTTCTCCCTCATAATTTTTGAATGGGTCATCTCAAAAAATTGAAATATGGGATAATGAAATAAATGCATGAATACTTCATTTTGAAGTGAAATTGACAGATGAAACTTTCAAAATGGCGACTGGACGCCATCTGGGAAAATAAAAATTAAATGGAAAGGGGGGTCTTGTGACACATCATTTCGAAGCTCCTCACAAATACTTCACAACCCTAGAATATGAAGTCAATATCTTCACCTAATACAAAATGGCGTAACATTTAATAATTTCCTGAAGACAAACACATTAATATCGATATTTCAAGAAATATTCCTTTTTATTTGCCATACGGCAATTCCAACAACCCGATAAATTTTGTTGAGTTATTTTTTGTCTATAAAAATGTCAGTACGACGATGAACATTATTGTTCAGTTTGAATATTCTCATTTAGTTTTCGGTTTTACTAGTAAACGGTACCACGTCAACAATCTCTAAAATGGTCAATTCTCGTCTATTGGAAAAAATAATTGAGGCGATTTTTATTTACGGTGAGGAAACTTGTATCCAAATTCACAACTACCGGTAGTTTACATGACAAAAAGCCCCCAGGTCATCCGTCCATTCCGGAATTGGTAAGATGGTAGTAAATCCTGAACAGTCTACTTATTCCGTCACGAATATTGGTGAGGTGTCTCCTTCTACTGTGTGAAGACTTCTGAAGAGGAATAGGTATCATCCATTCAAAATTAAAATGGTACACCAATTAACTGAAGATGACCCTGATCGAGAAACAGAATTCTGGGAAATCATGACGGAAACCATTGCAAGGCATCCATCCATCCTATCCTATTTATTTTAGTGACGAATGTACATTTTCTAAGGAGCAATGTTCATAGACAAAATTGTCGTTATTGAAGTGACATCAATCCTCACGTTCTCCGGGAAACACATACACAATATTCAGAAAAAAAGTACGTTTGGGCAGGAATATTGGGAAACCATATCGTAGCACCTCTATTTATTAATCAAATTTTAACAGGGAAACTGTATTCGAATATGCTGGAAACTACTGTTGACCCTCTCATCACTGAAATCGTCGAAGCGAATCCAAATGAATTCGATATGGATATTGTATTCCAACAAGATGAAGCAGCACTACACATTACTCCACACAAATAAGAAAATATTTGGATACTACTTTTCCCGGTGTTTTGAGGGGCCGTACGAGGTACTACAGAATGGCCAGCCTGCTCGCCAGATTTGACACCTTTGGACTTTTTTATGGGGCTATCTGAAGCAAAAGGTGTACGAAACTGAACCTGCTTCAGTATTGTATATACGACAGAGAATAATGAATATTTGTAGAGATATTGACGTTACTGTGCTCGAAAATGTTCGGATACCCTGTTCATATATCGAGAAGTTCAAAGCAACCATTTTGAGCATCTTCTGAACTGACCTCAAGCTTATTACTTTATATTATGTAGTTAAATGCCAATGTATTCATGCAATTATTGAAAGTTCCGCCATTTTGCAGTAGTTGAAGATATTGACATTATATTCTAGGGTTGTGAAACATTTGTCAGGAGCTTCAAAAACATGTGTCACAAGTCCCCCTTTCCATTTGATTTTTTTCCCCAGTTGGTGCCCAGTCGCTATTTCGAAAGTTTCATCTGTCAATTCCACTTTAAAATAAAGTATTCATGCATTCATTTCATTATTCCAAATTTAAATTTTTTGAGTTGACCCGTTCAAAAAATAAAAGGGAGGGGGGTCATTAAAGAAATACACTGTATAAAAGCTGCACTGGATCCTACTCTAGGTGAGTCTGCCTTTCCGTTTACACCAGTAAAGTATTGGGCTGCCATGACGAGGTTCGCAGTGGTCGACCAAATGTGGTGACAAGTCCAGAAACGGTGAAGAAAATCTACAAAACGGTACTGAATGATTGTCGACTGAAAGTGCGCGAGCTAGCAGACTTAGTAGACATTTCAGAAAGGGCGTACATCGATTATTATCTGAAAATTTTGACATGAGAAAGCTGTGTGCAAGATGGGTGCCGCGTTTGCTCACACTCGGGCAAAAACAGTGTCGTGAAGATGTTTTAATTTGCAGACAAGGTCATGGCATCGGTTTTTTGGGATGCGCGTGGGATAATATTCATTGTCTATCTTAAAAAGGTAAAACTAAAAACGGCGATTATTATTCGAACTTATTGCAACGTTTAAGTAAAGAAATCAACTGAAAACGGCCGCATTTGAATAAGAAAACGTGTTGTTTCATCAAAACTCAAAAGTCCCTTTTCACAATGACCAAAATTAACGAATTGAAGTTTGAATTGCTACCTCATGCACCCTATTCGCCAGATTTAGCTCCCTCGGATTATTTTCTCTCCCCAAATTTGAAAAAATGCTCCAGTGCTCAAAGATTTTTCAACGATGAAGGAGTAATGTCGGCAATTAATAGCTATTTTGAGGAGCAAGACAGTTCTTATCATAGAAATGGTATCTGACTTATTGAAGGTTGCTAGGAAAAGTGTATAGATCTGCAGGAAGTTTATGTTGAAAAATAAATACATTTAAAAAAAAAATGTGTTTTCTTTATTGGCCGGGGTACTTCTGGGACTACCCACGTATATTTATTAAAAATAGCTTGATATAAAGGGATTGAGATTATACAGTGTTCTCATAAATGAATTCATATTAATGAAACCATGCAAACATTTTCAACCTTTTTTGGCTCATATTGTGGACCAATGATTTTCTATCTATGAGTATAAATAAATATTTTATCATACGACGATGATATCTTCCCTCATGAAAATCTATCTGTAGGATCGACCGACCATCGAATGAGATTTGACCTGTGCCTTTTTATGTAACTTTCACTGCGATTCAGTTATTGTGATTTCAGGATCACACACAATTGAAATTCAGCTTTTCATAATTACAATTAAGCTAGTGCAATAAATATGCCTCTGAAATGGAAAATTATCTAATTCCGCCATAATCAGTAATTTTTTCCAATCTGAAATATTATCAACTCACCCTGACATCGCCCTCGACTCCGTTTCATACTGATTTTTGAGAGTTTCATACTCCATGAAAAGATTCTTGGAGGCTGTGGACAATTTTGTAAACTCCTCATTTCTTTCGAAAAGATCCGTTTCTAATTTGTCATGTTTCAATTGTAAATTCAAATATTTCTTCTCTACTTCATTCAAAGCTCTAAGAGCTGGAATATAAAAATGACGTTTATTATATTTATTTATGAATATTTGTAACTATAACCTTTTTCCTTATCAGTCAATAATAGCTTTCTTCTTTCCTCCGATTCTTCGTACTTTTGTTTCCATCTATGAACCTGTGGGTCATTGATAGGGATCTTTGACGAGTTCACTGGAGACGAAACTTGTCTGCTAAGCGGTCTTCTCAAAGGGATACTTGAATTTCCGTTTAGTTTTATACTTGTGGTATATCTTTTCGACATTATGGTTCACCTGTAATGAAACATTTATTAACATAAAGATGGATATAGAGAAGTGAAGAGATACATATAGTAAACATTCTGGAAGATACACAGACACTATTCAGAATTTCCAAAAACATATAATTATTGTCACTTTACAGTGTCAGTCGCTTTGCTAGTGATATAAAAAATCATGGAGAAAGTCGTTAACCCCTTATCTTCAAATATTTGGAAGGCTTCAACATTTTCAGCGAACATCAATATGGTTTTCGGAAACAAAGATCAACAGGCGACCTTCTATCGTATGTCACCCATATTTAGAATAACGCAATCACGCGAAATCACATACAAGCCAAACACGAAAATAACACAAAAAATAAACAACTATGAACAAGAAGAAGACAAAAACCAAAACGGGATATACAGTATACAATGCTCGGACTGCAGCAAATTCTATATCGGACAAACTCTCGGACAATTCTCTCTTATTTTAACAAAATAATATTTCATCTAATGAGATGAAAGCTTTTGATACATTTTAGAAGAAAATGAGATCATTCTACACCATGCAACTTCTTCAGCACTAAATATCTCTTACTCATAAATTCACCTAGTAGAGCTTTTTCTAATGAAATGAGCATTCTGTAAACAAGGGCACACCATACTATGAGCCTTAAAAAATATATGCTTTCACTACTTCTTACCAAGCGGAACTATATATAAAAGTCGTTTTAATCAAATCAGTAAAGTTTTTTCTATTCAATGCTGAAAAAAATTGAGTGAAGTAATTTTGAGGAGCATGAAATCAAAGGAGATTCAGTTTTGCATAAACTTTGTATTCATTTTTTTTTTGCCTTTATCATATTATAATGACTTCTCATGAAATCATTATTTGATATATTTGATAAAATACATGTTTATTATAAAACGTACAGCTATCTGTTAAGTGAACAAAGTTATTATAATTATTATTGCATTGTGCATTCTTTATGATGCTTGACTCATTTTATTTATATACACACTCATTCTTAAATTGTTACAATTTCCACATTTCATAATTTTGTATAACATTTTTAACTTTGTCATTTTTTCTAAATGTTAGGTTAGGTCTAAGGTGAGTGGGTTTATTTGACCCTCCACCGCAACCCGCAAGGGTTTATTGTGGTTCACACCTATTCACACTCGGCCAAATAAACCCAGCTTCTTAACGAAGCCGATTAGTTTGTATGGTGAGTGGTCTTTCAGGTCAGATGGTGAGAGTACGGTTCTGCCGAACTCTAAGAACCTGATTCGTTCCCCAGCGGAGTAGGCACAAAGTATATGCTCTGCTGTTTCATCATTTTCCAAACAGAGGCGACACACACTATCTTCCGACAGTCCAAGTTCTGCATACGATGATTCAAATGACAGTGACCTGTAAGAAGGCCTGTCAGACATCGCAGTTCATCTCTACTGTAGTCTAACAACTTTTTGGTATCAAACTTCGAAGGGTGAATAAACGCCTTGGAGTGAGCCAATCCTGGAAGATTCTGTCAGAAGTCCATACATTTTCTTCCTATCCAGGTTTTCAATGTTTGCTTGGCAAAGCCTAAAGCGATGCCAATGAGAGGTTCTGGTCCGATGAAGCTACTTGCAGCACCCTCCTTTGCAAGGGAGTCAGCAGCTTCATTGCCTTCCATGCCAGTATGGCCAGGAATCCAGACCAGAGACAATCTGTTAAGCCTTCCTATCGAGGAGAGTCGTTTTTGGCAATTTGCCACCAATTTAGACGTTGCTCAATAGGAGCCAAGAGCTACCAACGCCGCTTGACTATCCGAGAATATTTTTATTGACTTGTGTGTGGGGTTGGATTCATCCAATCTCTCCATACACAATTCAATAGCGTAAATTTCCGCTTGAAATACAGTCGCATAAGTTCCTAAGCAGATAGATATCTCTGTCCTGGGTCTGCGACTAAAAACACCTGCACCAGAACCGGTAGGTATTTTTGATCCATATGTGAACCGACAACTATCTGCTCTTAATATTTCCTTCTCCCGAAGGATCCAGTCCAATCCAGGTAGTTAGTAGTTCACAGTTGGAGGCATAAAGTCAGAGGTCATTTCCAGAATGCTGTGACTTCTAGTGTCAACCAACAGTCTATTGCACTCTGCATTAAATTAATTTGTGCAATTGGCAATGTGCACAAGTCTGTATGCAGTCCATCTAGCCTCTCTCTCCAGAAAAATGTGGAGAGGAGGTAGATCTAGAAGGATCTCCATGGCCGCTGTCGGTGTGGTACTGATGGCACCACTTTCTGAATGTTGCATGCATATGTTTTTTGTACATAATACCATTCATTAATATGTGTCAATTTTTATGGAAAACAAGTGCTTTACACTTATCCTGAAATCGCTTTATTCATTCATTGTATATTGTAACATATTTGTATCTTTTGTGAATAAAGTTATATTATTTTTATTATTCTCTAATTGTTTCAAATTACAGTCTATTGAGACACCCTGTATGAACTATACCACCACCAACGCGAGATCAAGTTGAAGGCCTTTGACTTCGGGCTCCGGAGGCGTTATGTTCTATTATCTCTTAAGAAGAGAATCCGTCCCATAATTAGATTAACCACTTCTCATTAAAATATTTAATTGGCATATCTCGAACAATGAACTCATTATTTCTGATGTCATGAGCGAACAATGATACAAAATGAACTGATAGGATGGAAAATACCCAGTTGGTAACAACGAAACTATAAATTAATCAAATATCTTATTCAATCAAATCCATTTTGATCTTGAGACCAGTAAAGCATTTACTGGTCTCAAAATGTATGCTTCTCAATCCGTCAACCTGTGGTTCTAAGTAAGTGATTCTGTTTGAAAGTGGTTAATTTTAGAAGTTTGGATTTCAGCTTCTGAAAAAAGTATTACCAGATTTGAAATCTAAAGAAAAAAAACAAATGAAATAGAGAAATGCTGAAATATTGAAAATACTACAAAACAACTGGATCTAAATATTCGTATGTTAGTAATGAAAACAAATACTGTAAATAAGGAAGAAATAAGTAATGGCTTTAAAAAAAAATAAAGAGCGGGATTGTCAAGACCTAATTGATCGTACATTCAGGCTCTGTAACACGAAGGAATGTATCGACAAGGAATCAGGACACATCAGGAAAGATCTTCAGCAAAATGTGTACTCCAAGTGCTATTCCTTTCTTACGTCAGACTGTTGGAGCCTGTTCATATCCGGAAACGCCATCTTAAGAAGCCTCCCAAAACCCAAGCTACCAAAAGGGGACTGCGACTTCAAGAATTTTATTTATTGGATACCATATCGGCAAAACCAAATTGAAAGTCCGTATTGGTGAGCACAAGAAAAACACCAGGCGGGAAGAAACCAGCAAATTGGAAATAGCGAAACATTTTTAGACTCGTCAACATAATATCAAATGGTTTGAAACTGAAATCATCCACAGGGATGAAACACTGGTTTGAAAGATAATTCGAAGGAGCTGTATACATGTTGACCAACGACGACACATTCAGCCAGACTAATGGAGAAATACGCAATATATAGAAACCTCTAATCAAGCGGAAAAACAGTCTACATTGCACTGATTCGGGAACCGAGAGAAGAGGGAAAAGTGAGAAGCAGGGCGAGTGGAAAGGGGTGAACCCGCTCTTGTGACTGTTAACTTTTCTAGGTTGAATGTTTTCGATGAAAATTACCTTTAAGGAAAACCTGTGACAAGGCTTCTCATGAACATTATTGTGACAACATTACATGACTACAATGTATCAGTTTCGAATAATATTGTTACATGAAATAAGTGAATATTGAATTTCAACAGAGACCTATGAATAGGAATAGTTCAGTTATTATCCTAAGACTAGTGTGAAGTAACTTACTTCATTTCATTTTCAAATAATTTTTATGTTTATCAGGTATCAAGAATAGATGATGAATGATGAAAGGTTGAAGCGAGAGTTGAATGGATCCAGATTCTCTGGGTACAAGGTATGTTGTTAGCACACGAGAAAAATGACGAAGTGATACGAGTTGTACGTGGACTCCGTAGTGAGGATAGAGGTTAGGCAAAGGCTGGACATATTAAGGGCGAATGGACATTGGGGAATGACAGGATCCACAGATAGAGCAATGTGAATGGGATAGGGAGAACAGATCAGTATTGTATGGAGAAGAGGGCACGACTGTGCACATCTGAGGAAAGCACATAAGGAATGTAGAAAGAAAGGAGTGAAAGGGTGAAAAAGAAGAATTGAAGATGAGTGTCAATGGAAATGGGAGGACTTCTGCACAAGCACTGTGGAACAGACGAGCATAAGTCTCCGAATTTGACGACTGTTTAGTTGCTAACATGGCACTGCAATTTCCCAGAATACCTCAGGTTCAACATGGGTCCAGAGTTGACGTACTCCTGTAGCTTGGGAGACCCTGAAATGGCAGAATATGTCTTTAATAGTTTCTTGGATGAGGCTAGAGTCGGAAAGCGGGGACCTTAGAGGACTTTATAGTCAGAGACCCGAATGGATGAATGGATCCGATACGTAAATGTATGAGTATAGAACAAAATGAGGGCCGAAGAAAACAGATGAATGGCTGGTAGACCAACTTTGAGGATGCGGCCACCTTGACTCCTGATTGTTTGAGTAGGATTTTCAGACCTGTCAATCCTTTCAAGCTGACCAGGCAACTGTTTGTCAAGTTAGGTATGAAAATAGTTTTTTTGTATTCTCTTTCTATTGAACTATAATGATATCTTATGATATTGTGGAAAAAGCCGGATTTTTTTGCTGTTGATTCGGAAAGTGGAGAGGAGGAGTCGGGGTTCCTTTGACAGTGGTGGCGCTAGATTGGGGAAAAACAGCCGGATTTAAGTGTGTCAGGTAAGACAAGCTATGAGGTCAAGGTTTCACAATGCACAATGCAAGATATTATTATTAATACAGCGTATTATTAGACGAATACTAAAATAGTTCATCACTAACAAAGCTTCTAGCCCTGATGCAA